GGTGCAGTGTGTTGGGGTGTTCTGTGTGTATGTGTGAGGGGTGCAGTGTGTGTGTGTGTGTGGTGCAGTGTGTTGGGGGTGTTCTGTGTGTATGTGTGAGGGGTGCAGTGTGTGTGTGGGTGAGGGATGTAGTGTGTTTGTGAGGGGTGCAGTATGTGTGTGTGTGTGACGGATGCTGTGAGTGTGAGGGGTCAAGTGTGTGTATGTGAGGGTGCTGTGTGTGAGAGTGCTGTGTGTGAGGGTGATGTCTGTGAGGGTGACGTGTGTGAGAGTGCTGTTTGTGAGGGTGATTTGTGTGTGTATATGTTAAGAGGGATTTTGTGTTGGGGTAAAAAAACAAAAACCAGACATTATTGTGATGTACGGACTATTGGGCTGTGTATGAGTGTGTGAGTGTATGAGTGTGTGTATTGTGATGTACGGACTGTTGGGCTGGTATGTGTGTGTGTGAGTGTATGAGTGTATGTATTGTGATGCATGGGCAGTTGGGCAGTTGGGCTGTTGTTGGCTGTGAATGATGCACTTCCTTTCATTTGGTTCTTTACTTCCTGTTCCTGTTGGCAGTTGGTGGAATGTTCGAGGGATATGAAATGGCAGCTGCAGAAACCCTGTGTAACAAGACAGCAATATGAAGATGCTGTTATATATGTATTAATAAAGTGAGTACTTGGTTATACAGGAATAACTGACTGATTTGTACAAAACATCACAATTATATCCCGGGGGGACCAGCACTCTCACATCATCCCTGGTGGTGCTAGTGGTGAGTGAACTCTAGCCTGAAAGGAGGAACCTGGCAGAGCTGCAAGATAGAGCTCCGCCGGGTTCTCCTCTCCCTCCTCAGCTGCATGTCTGTGCAAGTGGGCTGGTGAGGGAGATCTTTCATCTCCCCACTGGCCTGTCATGGAAAACAGTAGGACCGGCGCTCTGATAGTGCCGGCCCTGCATGGACCCGCTGAAGAGATCCTGTGACCTCCCCTGCTGGCATCGCGCCCCACATGGCATTTGCCCGTTGTGCCCGACAGCCAGTCTGGGCCTGCAGTCAGTACAAAAGGCTTGAGAAAAAATTTGCCAACCCCCCCCATATGTTCTGCCCACCATGTGACATCACAATGCCCTACCCATATGATCTGCCATATGGGCCAACGCTAGTGCCGCACACAGTATCTGTTATCTGAAAAGGCAGTGTGTTTACATCAAAAAACCTGCAGGGGCAGGCTATAGACACCAGAACCACTACATTAAGCTGCAGTGGTTCTGGTGACTATAGTGGCCCT